TGTGCAAGACGCCGTGGGGCAGGACGAGCCAGTGTACATGGAGGACGTGGCCCTGGCATGCACTGCCCGTGTCCCTGGCCTGCGCTCTCTGGATGAGGTGAGTTGGGGACCCCCCCTTGGTGAAGATCACCTGCCCCCTGACACACACACACACACACACACACGCGCGCGCGCGCGCGCGCTGGTTAACAGACTTGTCCCCGTACACCCTCAGGTATACCCAGACCCTGTGCGGGTGGTGTCAGTGGGGGTGCCTGTGGCCCGTGCGCTGGACCCAGCCTCCCGAGCTGCACTGCAGACCTCTGTGGAGCTGTGCTGTGGGACGTGAGTCACTCTTGCCTGCCTTTTCTGACCCGGGGCCCCCGGATCCTCACCCTTCTTTAGTGTCTGGAGCCATCAGCCCCTGGTTCGGAGCTTCGGCTGCTCTTTCCTATCCCAGCGTTCCCACTGACTTCCCTGTCCCTCCCTCTGCCCTCAGGCACCTTCTGCGCACAGGGGCTATAGGGGACCTGGTCATCGTTGCAGAGCGCCAGCTCACCAAGGGCACCACCCGCCTGCTGGCCGTCACTGGGGAGCAGGCCCAGCAGGTTGGCGTGCCAGCAGGGTCCAGGAGGCCACTGGATTGGGGGGGGGCACACAGTTGACACTCTCAGGCTAGGGGACACCAGCAGCAGAAGCAGTGTCCGCACAGGTGTGCGGATGGGGCCGTGCCAGCTGCTGGCCCCTGGCGTGATTATCTGCTGCCTTGATTGGTCCTGATGGTTCAGTATTTCTAGTTTGGCCCCGACTAGCAATAAGTTGAGAGCCCCTGTGCTGGGGAAGTGAAAGTAAGCCGAGCAGCCCCGAGCATCCTGTTCCATCTCCTCAGGCCCGAGAGGTGGGCCAGAGCCTGGCCCAGGAGGTCGAAGCTGCCACAGAGCGGCTGAGTCGGGGCAGCCAGGATGTGGTGGCGGCTCAGAGACTCTCCAAGGACATGGGACGACTTATTGATGTGAGGGTCACCCCTACCACAGAGCTGCTCCCCACCCTCTCCTGGTCCTCTTCCCCTCCCCGTGCCTCCCCAGACCCTTCCTGTCACTCCCCAGGCTTCCTGCTGGACTCCAGCTGGCCTCGATGTTGGTCTGCAGGGGGTGGGGGTGGGGGGGGTGATGTCTTCCCCCCCTCCCCCCGCCTCAGAGTCCGTGGCCCAGGGAAGGGCCTGGCTCATAGGCTTCTGGCGGTAGGCGGTGGACACGGCCGTGATGCCCCAGTGGCAGCGGCGGGAACTGCAGGCCGCACTGAAGGTGCTGCAGCGGCGTGCCAACACGGCCCTCCGGAAGCTGGAGCTGGGCCAGGTAAGAGGAGGTTCAGCTGACAGCCAGCAAGGGTCAGAGACGCTGCAGCACGCACACTGAGAAGCTTCCGGGCCTCGTGTGGCGGGGGCAGCTCCTCCCTCCCCCGCCAACTGGGCACCATCACCAGGCCATCCCCCCACTTCCCTCTCTGCCAAACTGTGCCTCTCCTTCACCTCTCAAGTCTGGCTCAGACTCTCCCTCCAGGAAGCCGACTGACTTGATAAGGCCATTCAGCCTGCATTACTCCTTGACTTTGGATCCGGCTTCCTCCCCCCGCCCCCCCCAGCCTCGGTTCGTCCATCTGGGCTCCAGCCTTAGGCCCTCACCTTCAATGGCCTATTTGTGGGGGCCTGGAGCTGTGGCGAAAGGGGAAGAGGTGGGGGGTGGGGAGAGGGAGGACACAGGCCATTCGAGGCAGAGCCACTGGCACTTCTGCTCAAAGCCGAAGATCTTGGCTGGGGGTGGGGATTTCTGGACTGGGGCTCAGTGTGGAGGGGGGGCCCCGTTGCCTTCCCGCCTGATGCCCCTGCCGTCCTTCCTGCCCCCCCCCCCCAGGCTACACAGAAAACCCAGGAGCTGCTGCAGCGGCACTCACAGGGGCCCCTGATTGTGGACACAGTTGCTGCCGAGTCCCTCTCAGTGAGCTCTGGGGCTGGGGGGGGTGGCCCCAGGGTCCGGGAGGAGGAGAGTCCTGAGTGGGAGGCAGCTGGGAATCCAGAGAACGGCAGGGTCACCATCTGCCCTCCCTTGCGCAGGTGTTGGTGAAAGTGGTGCGGCAGCTGTGTGAGCGGGTGCCTGGCACCTCTGTGCTCCTCCTCAGCCCCCAGCCACTGGGGCGCGTGCTGTGTGCCTGTCAGGTGACCCCGGTGAGGGACGGAGGAGAGCAACCCCCCCCTGCCCCCCGCCACCCATTCCGGTCTAGCTCTGTGGTTCCACGCCTTTGACTGCTCCAAGGCAGGGTAGAGGGTATCAATGGGGACACCCCAGAACGAGGATAGGGCCATCTCTTAGCCCTAACCACACCCCCCGACCAGAGAAGGCATCATGAGCTCCCCTAATTACCACCACCCTCCCTCCAGGCCACACATCCCTTGCAAACAAGTAGCAGACATTCATTAACCTCCATCCACATTCCCAGCCCAGTGCTCTCCCATCTCCTTACTTGATTCCCCTACCATGTACCCAGCTAGTCACCATGATGCCACTCTTGAGGGCAGGTGGAGTGGATGGTGGTGGGCAGGGCTGCCCTGCATCCCTGCCGCTTCTGTTTCTGTCCCCAGAGTGCCACGCCAGCCTTCACAGCAGAGGCCTGGGCACTGGCAGTATGCAGCCACATGGGGGGCAAGGCCTGGGGCTCTCAGGTGGTCGCCCAGGGCACCGGAACCACTGCTGACCTGGAAGCTGCCCTCAGTACAGCACGAGCCTATGCCCTCGACCAACTCTGACCCGGCTCACCCAGGGACTCGCATAGACTAAACAGACAGCCGACGGACCCATGACAGGAGCCCTGAAGGAGCCAGCAGAACCTCCCCGGAGGCTGAAGCAAAGGACTGAAGGCTGGAGGCCAAGTAGCTAAGCCCAGGAGGGCCACCTTGGGCTAGGCCCCGTGCGGACACGAGATAGGGCTACAGGAGGCAGAAGTGGACCCAGAGACATACTCCCCTCTCACTGGATGAATGTGGAGCCACGGACTGTCTCGGCTGTGATTGCTCATTAAAAAGTATTTCACCTGGGAGGCTTAGTCGGTTAAGCATCTGCCTTCAGCTCAGGTCATGATCCCAGGGTCCTGGGATCGAGCCCCGCAGGGAGCCTGCTTCTCCCTCTGCCTCTCTTTCTGCCTCTCCCCCTGCTTGTGCTCTCTCTCTCTCTCTCTATGTCAATAAATAAATTTTTTTCTTTAAAAAGAAAAAAAAGTATTTCACCGAGGCTAGAAAGCTCCAGGAGGTGTTTTGCTTAAAAAGGAGCAGCTTTCCCCACCCAGCATCCACATCAGAACCATCCTCCTCGCCTCTGTTGCTCAATGGGCTTTCCAAAGCCAGCCTGTTCTCGGTACCCACCAGGGTCTCCCTGGCCACCAAGAACCAGACGTGCCCTAGGAAAGTCATGACAACAGGGCAGATCCTCTCCGGTGCCGCTTGTTTCAGTAACAGCGGCTTTTCATAAGGGCCCTGTCGATGAAATGAGCAACGGGTAACTGGTCAGTTGCTGAGAATGCGGCAAGAACCAAAGGCCTAAAACTTGCTGCACTTGTGGAGCTTGCTGCTAGTGGGGAAATACGCAATAAAGAGAAGGAAGCGGATGTAAGGCAAGGATGAGGTCTGCAGAGAAAGTGGGACAGGGATCCGGAGGGTGGGTGACTGTTGTTTCACGGGGAGGTGGCACCTGAGGGGAGGGTGTGAGCCACAAGGTTATCTGAGGGAGGAGTGGCACAACCAGGGCAGGGGCCCTGCAGGGGAGGTGAGCAGGCACAGGGAGCTGCGAGAGTGCAGGGGGCCAGAGACACCTGACTCTTAAAGACAAGTTGCACAGCACCTGCCCCAAACCTGAGCTGAAGCTAAAGCTGAGAAATGGCAGCTCAGAGTGGGAGGAAGCCCTCCTTCTCTACCAGAATGAATGCACTTAGCACCCACCCAGGCTCGGGAGCTCCACCTCTGTTCCCAGATCTCCGTTGCTAGAGGAGGGAAAGGACCTCAGGGGACCCATCTCCAAGTCAAAGGCTCCCTGGTGACCAAGTTCTGGGGCTGTTTCGTTAAAATTATAAGCGCAGAGCGTGGCTTCTGACACGATTTCTCATTCTAATTGCACCGGTGAAAGGGCTTGCAAGGGGACTAGTCCCTGCCTGCATGGGATGCCGGGAATTCTGCAGGGCCGGACTGCTTGCTCAGCCCTGTGGGCTTACAAAACTGTACTTCCGGACCTCGGCAACTGCCACAGTAGCCACATCTCAGTGGTGCTCACTGGAAGCCCAGCTTTTTACCGTGAACACCAGGGGGAGGAGTTGTGGCGGCGCCCCTGTTTTCTGATGAGTTAAGCGAGCTTCTAAGATGTTAACTTAGACTTAACATACTAGTAATCAGGAGAGCTGAAAGTGGAGCTAAACTACCTCCATGTGAAACGTCTGAGGGGGGGAGGGGTGACATAACGCTTAGGTCTGTGTGAAGGAGCGCTGTGGAGACCTGGAACCTTCTTGCCTGGTGCCTGACATCAGCCTTGTTTACATTCTGGAGAAAGGTGGAAGGTGCCACTCTGCACGGATGCTGCAACCCACAGCTCTCCTGCAAGGCCCGGGGTCAACAGCAGGCCTCAGAGGAGTTCCAGTAACCCCTGCAGGTGCCCGTCCATCTCCTCATCTTCCAGAAGAAACTGCCGATGCTTTTCCTGGACCGTCTTTCCACTCGTCACCCCACACCCCCGTTTCCACGCAAAGGTAGCAAGAAGGAACAGAGCACTCCAGTCCAGGAGCCCTACCCTGGCTCCCACTCCTCCCCTTCCCCCCAGAAAAGCCCATCTATTCCTAAACATGTCCCCCAGAACCAGAAAGCACGCCCCCCGCTCCCGCCCCCTCCCCCCACCGAGTTCGCGGTCCCCGCACGGCCGCACGCCGTGGAGAGCCGGTGCACACGAGGGTGTACTCGCGCACATGCGCACCGGCCCTCGGCCCCGCCCCCTGGCGACGCGGGGCGTCCTTAACGACCGGCGCGGCAGCGCGGGGGGCCTTGCAGGAAGGTAAGCGCTCGGGCACCGAGAGTGGGTGAGGTGAGCCCCGGAAGAGAGGACGCTCCACCCCGGGTCTCCCTAACTCCCCCTGCCCCCCACTCCCGCCCGGCTGAGGCTGGCTTGGCTCCGGGCCGGTCTGTCCCCACAGGAAGCCCCCCACCCCCACCCATTTGAGGCGGGACTCTGGCCTTCTCCCCCAGCTACGGTCACTGTCTGCATACTGGCCCAGAGGCTTAGGGTCTGCGAGTAAAGGGGTGCTGGGGTGGGGGTGGGAGGGCACCGTGAGAAGGACAAAGGGGAAAGTGGGACATGGGTAGGTCAGACCTGTCCTGAGCCCCGGAGCCTCAGGCTTCTCAGAAAGACTGACTCCCATGCCCAGCTCCTGCGGGCTGCAGTCCTTCCTGCAGGTCCAGAAGCTTCGGGACCTCCCTTCCACCCTCCCTCCCACAGCACGGCTGGTTTCCCTTGGTTACCAAGGAACAGCAAGGGCCTCTGCACCCCAGGCAGGTTGGGGGAGAGACTTGCTCGCCTTTGGAGCTGAGCTTCCCTGCTGGGTGTCTGAGCCCAAGGCTGGAGTGAGGGGTGAGGAATGAATACTCTGGAGTCCTTTTAAAGACAACAGACCAAGGTGCTCAGGAGTTAGGAGGAGGGCCAGGCCCAGGGGTGTGATTAAGTATGCGGTCTCACTGGGGCCAATCACCAAGCAAGCTGGGCCGGGCTCTGTCGGAGTACTTTGTTGTCCCTCTTTTGTGATTTCACAAACTGGGAGTTCCCAAATGGGAATTCGAGAGTGATATGGGCCGAGCTAGGGTCTGATAGGGGCATGAAAGAGATCAGGGGAAGTCAGACAAATGCCCAGGGCCCCTGAGGACATGCCCACGGAGGGTGCTCCTTGGGGATCCTAAGGTGAAGGAGAAGGTGGCTGAGAAGGTAGGGGAAGCACAGTGGGAGAAGTGGGTGGAGGGTGGAACCCATCTAGCTGAGCCAGCCCGGAGGGTGGTGCCCAGGGGCACAGAGGTGCTTTGGCTCCTCCGCTAAGAGGAAGGCAGGGGGGGAATGAGGGCCAGAGGTGTGATGAGCAGGAAGGGGAGAGTGTGCTCCCCCAGTCTCTTCAACTTTACCATTCAGGCAGAGGGAGAAGCCTCTGCCCACAGTAGTTAGATTTAACTGGGGACTTGAGAAGTCTGAGATGTCCAAGAGGAGGGAATGTGCTAGATTCAGGCACTGAATCCCAGGTCTGTGAGGAACATCATGGGCCAGGAGAGTGCAGCTCTGCGGGATGTTCTTGGGTCCCCAGAAGGCCTCGGGCTGAAGCATACAGGCAATGGCCCAATTCTGTGGAAGGACTTCGTGCTGGGCAGTGATTTAGGGGCTGAGGGAGCCTGAGCTGTTTAGGCCAGCATCAAAAGGGTAACCCTGAGATGGCGAGAGATCATGAGCTGGAGAAAGTGGGAGGCCCGCTGGAAAAGTGCTGTGAACAACCAAGTCTGGACAATTTAGGAAGCAACACCAACAGCTCATTATTTGCCTATGCTTTTGTGCATGGAAGTAATGGACGGATATCAGCTCAAACCTTAGCTTTCCCACTTACTAGCTATGTGATGCTTAGCAAGTTACTTAGGCTTTCTAAGCCTGCCTATTTCCTCGTTTGTGCAATGGGGATAATAGTGTCATAATAGCAATGATAGCCCTCAATAATAAATTTGAAGATTTAATAAACTTATGTAGGTGAGGCCTGTAACATCTTCATCACAATATCTATCACTTATTTTGAATGCTGGCTCTGGGCCCAGCACTACATGAAACATCTCACACACATCAGCCCCTTTAATCTTCTGGATAATCTTAGGAAGTAGGTACTATTCATTTCCATCCCCATTTTACAGATAAAGAAATGGAGGCTTAGTGGGGTGTAAAATGACTTGCCCAAGGTCTCACAGATGCTCCGGGGCAGAGTGCAGATTGGCCCTAAGGCAGTGTAATTCCTGAGTCCTTAGCCAGCTGCAAACACTTTGACAGCCTAACACTCAATAAATCATAGCTGTTACATAGGCAAGGATCTGGTTCCCAGAACACTTGTCCAGCAGACACAAGCCATCAAAAACGAGGACAAGCTGGCCATACTAGGGCATGTTGTCCCTTTATATTACCTGTGCTTGGGCACATAGAGAGCGGACTTTAACACCTAACCCTTTGAGTTAGGGCCTGAACGTGATTTCAGGACCCTGGACCCTGGTCCTAAGGACACAGAGTGGGGACCTGGTTGGGGGGAGGACTGGCCTTTCTACAGGGACTGTGGTCCTGTGTGGGGTTAGGGTTGATGCTGGAGACACAGCATGTGAAACCCAATAGGCCCATGAAACAGGTGCCAGGAGGCAAAAGGTCACAGGACATGTCCCCACTTTCCCCATCCTAGGGTAACTTGTGCCCTTAGGGACCCCAGGTGGTGGCACAAGAGGCAGTCACTCCCCATGGCCCTGACCTTCTCTCTGGAATGTCAGAAAAGATTCCTGCCCCAAAGAAGGATCAGGGTCTTTAACACGCTTCCAGTCTTCAAACTCTGGGATTCTCTGTCTGCCCCATAGGTTCCCTAGGGAGACAAAGCTCCAAAAAGGAAGGTGGCTGCCATTTCTGGGGCTGTCCTCCTTGGGCCCTTGGGAGCTGTCGGGGTGCCCTTGGGCCCCTGGCTAATGGGTGTCTAGCCATGCCTCAGGCTTCCGGGGAAGGTAGTGCCACCTGCTACCACCCTCAGCTGCAGACTGGTGATGCTTGGGCCAGACTGAGGCCACCCCGTGAAGTAGGGGGAGTTATCACAGGGCCCCTGACTTGTGGGCCCTCCACATTCAGTGCTGTGTTTTCCTTGCTCCCTTCCTAACTTGGCTTGTTGAATCTGAAATTCATTCACACTCAGGTGTGGATGACTGATAAGAAGGGAGATATCTATATGTTAGGGGCCTGAAATTTCCATAGCAGGGTGCCAAGGTCTGGTTGCTCTCTCAGCCTGGAGAGGCCTTCCCTGACAGGTTCTCGTTGCATAAAGATAGGCCCCCAGCTTCCCAGGGAGCAGGGACGTGCCTTCTTTCCTGGCGGAGGGTGGAAAATTGTGGGCAGTGTCTGTGGTGAGAGGGAGATGATTGCCCTCAGGCCCTGGGCCCAGCCCTCCTAGCTGTCGGAGGACCAGTCATTTCTCCATCTCGAGAATGGGGCTGAGAAGCCTGCCCTGCCTCCCCTGCAGAGTGGCTGTAAGACCCAAACGACCTCAAAGCTCTGAAAGGAGCTTGTTAACTGCTACATGCTGAGTAGGTCAGGTTGCTGATCTATCCTGCGGCTGGAGAGATGAGAAGGGAAGCTGGAGGCCCAGGGTGGCCGGGGGAGGAAGAGGCCCCCGAGTGAGATGCCAGGCCCTGTGTATAATGAACCTGGGGGCCTCTGGCCCTTCTCAGCCATCCCACTGAACTATTTCATCTACTGATTTAGGATTTTTTCCATAATTCCATTCACCAAACTGTGAGCCTGCCCAAATGGTCAGGACACTTTGACCACAAAGGGGCAGAAACCCAACTCAGTTTCCGCAAAAGGGACCTATTAGAAGGCTGCCAAGGAGGTCTCAGAACCAGAGGAACTGCCGAGGAGCCAGGCAGTTCTCGGGGGCCTGGGAGCATGAGACTGGGGACCAAAGGTACCGGGTGCTCTCTGTCCACCTCTCATTTCTGTTGGTCTCCCCCAGGCTTCATTCCCTCCTGCGGCAGACAGGGCTCCATGTGAAGGGAAACAGCCCCCAGCAGCAGGAGAGGAGTATCCTTCAAGGATACACATCCGTCCTTGGTGTCTACCTCCACCTCTGCGGCTGCTCCAACAAATCCCAAGAAGGGCCCTGATTGGCTTGCATCAGGTGGCCACCCCTGAGCCAGTCACCCTGACCAGTATGGGACACTCCTATTGGCCAGAGTCTGTTCTCAGAAGGGGGCGGGGCAGCTCAGAACACCAGCTACCTCCTGTAAAGCTGACTTAACATGGGCCAGGGATTAGGGAGAAAAAAGGAATCAGAAACAGCCCCTGCACCTCAAGGAGCTCACAGTCTAGGGTGGGTGTGCATGGAGGGCGATCAATCAGATCACTGAAGGGACAGCAGTACAGAGGTCTGATAAAGGGCAGGGGTCAGATGAACTGCCTGGGCAGGGAGGGACCATGCTTTATATCATCTTTTTTTTTTTTAAATTCCAGTTAGTTAACAAACAATAGTTATCATAGGGGAAGTGGGTGGGGGTTGGGTTATATAGGTGATGGGGAAAGTGAAAACTGTCAACTCTGACCTTATTATGAGGTTAATGGTTTCACACTTTAACCTTACAAATGACATCAGACCCCGTGGTATGGAGGTTTCTGTAAGCCCTGCAGGACAATAGGGACTCTTTTTGATACCCACCATGTACCTGGAGCGCATCTGCCTCTTCTTTCTGAGGAGGGGGCTCAGGACCCCGGAGCCCACCACGGGGTGGGTCCTGCAGTGTCATGCCCAGAGGGGACCACAGCTCCAACCAGCAGCAAGAAAGATGAAGAGCAGACCTCAGGAAGAGTTGTTGGGTCCTAAGACAATGAAGCACTAGACAGTAGAACCAGCAAAAAGCCGCCCTGTTCCAGAGGGCAGCCTGCCTGCCCCCAGGTGGGGTTTCCCCAGCAGCAGGCCTCCCAGGAGGAAGGAGAGGGAAGGGCCTACCTGGATGGTGAGTCTGCGCAGCGTTGTGAGAAATATCTGGAGAGTCAGTCGGCTCCAGGGCAACACAAACCTGAGGCTCCCCCCGCCAAGCTGGGTCCTGCTCCCTTGGGTGTGGCCCACAGCGTGTCTTGGGATACATCTGGGCCCAAAGGGAATGCCGGAATGTTTTGAGCCAGAACTCTGGAGGGAACTTTTGGCGGGAGCCCCAAGAGCCCAGAGACAGAGCTGGGAGGAATAGGGCTGGCCTGTTGTCTCTTTCCTCCTGGCGCCCAGGCTGCCAGGCCCCTCCACCCTTATGCAGCCCCAGTCACCACCAAAGCCACCTTGCCCTCTTGCCTCTTCCCTGGAGATAGGGAAGGGCCTCACTCAAGGATACCATCTCAGGTCAGCACTCAGAGGTAGGGCTCCGAGGTGTTCTCTCCCCAGCCCAAGACCCCTGTCCCCCGTCCTCCACACCCCCCCACCCCCAGTACTCGTTTCAGACATTATCTCAGAGGAACTTCCATAACCGCCTGCAGAAGGAAGATAGCGAAACTGAAGCTCAGATAGGTTAAGTAAATTGGCCAAGGTCACACAGCAAATCACTGGCAAAGCCAGAAATGCAAAGTCATCTGGCACCTCTAAGCAGCATCCCCTCCCAGCCACACCCTCTGAGGGGCTAATAGTCAAATACACCAGCTGGTTCTTCCACAAATCTGGACACAATTGGTTTGTGAATTTGCATTTGATTTGCATAAGGGTGTCACAAATATATGGATGTCTTCCCTACACTGCCTCATGCCCCCTCACCCCCGTCTCTCTCTCTGCCCCCCACCTCCCCCCACACACAGCCAGGCTTTTCCTCCTTGAGATGCCTGGTGGACTGGGGAGTACCATCTGGTCCCCTCCATCTGCCAAGGACACCTTTGCTGGTTCAGAGTGTTCCTTCCCACCGGGCACTACACAGTGCACCGAGTCAGGGAGCAAATCCGAGGGGAAACTGCCGGGAAGAGGAGCTCCGTGCGGAGCCGCCCCGTTTCAGCCTGCAGCCTCAGGGCAGGGGCACCTGCAGCAGGGAGGCACGAATGGACAGATGTGGAGGAGGGTCCCCAGCCCCGGATACATCCTCTGTCTCCTGTCTCCAGCCCCAGATTTAGCTGCCTTTTCGCCTCCCACGCCTTCCCGCTGCCGTCTGGAATGTCGGGAGGCTGGGAGAACTAGGAAGACTGGATCGGGAGATGGGGGGGCGGGGGGAGGGGGGGCGGAGCCAGAGCTCTCAGAGGGGAAGAGGGAAGAGGGAAGGTGCAGGCACCCTGGACAGACCAGGGTCTGGTCCCCCCCCCCCCCCCCCCCCCCCCCCCCCCCCCCCCCCCCGTCTTCGTCTCCGCCTACACTATCCAAAACAGAGGCCGCTAGCTACACGTGACTATTGAGCCATCCGATTTCGAAGGCTTAGTATGAAAAAGTGTATATAAAATATCTCATTAATTTTTATATTGATTACATATTTCAATGATGATATTGTGGACATATTGGGTTAAACATAAAATTAATTTCACCCATTTTTTTTAAATGTGGATGCTAGAAAATTTTAAACAGTATATGTGGCTTGCATTTTGACATGTATTGCATTTCTATTTGGCAGTGCTGTTCTCAACTCCATCTTCCTGGTTAGGCAGTTGCTGTTCTGTAAAATACTTAACCCTGGGAGCTGTTTTGAACTAAATGGTTCTTTATTATACCTCGGTCTTTTGGCAATGCACACCCCCACGCCTCACCCTCAGAGGGGCAGTACAATGTAGGGTTAAGAGTATGAACTTGAGGGGCGCCTGGCTGGCTCAGTCGGTAGAGCATGCAACTCTTGATCTGGGGGTTGTGAGTTCGAGCCCCATGTTGGGTGTAGAGATTATTTAAAATCTAAAAAAAAAAAAGGTATGAACTTGATAGACTGAATTTAAATCCATCCTTGTTATTTATAAGCTGTGTGACGTGGGGCAAGTCAATTAACCTGTATTTCAGGTTCACATCAGAAAAATGGGAAAAATATGAGTGCCTATCTCAAAAAGGCTTTTGTGAGGATTAAATGAGTTAATATGCATAAAGAACTTTTGCAGAAATGTGTCCAGGGGCGCCTGGGTGGCACAGTCGGTTGAGCATCCTACTCTTGGTTCCAGCTCAGGTCATGATCTCAGGGTCATGGGATCGAGCCCCACGGCAAGCTCCATGCTCAGTGGGGGGGGTCTGCTTGAAATTCTCTCTCCCCCTCTGCCCCTCCCCTGCTCATGCTTGCACGCTCTCCCTCTCTCTCTCAAATAAATAAATAAATCTTTCTTTTAAATAAGTAAATAAGTAAGTGTCCAACATATATCAATTACTTATCATTGCTGTGTAGGTATTATTATCCAAAATGTGGGCCTGCTTCTTACTACAGTTGCATGTGTCACAGTACACTGTGCCTCTTTGGATGCATTATTTTATTCACTTCTCCCGTTCCTCTTATAGGTAACTGCCATCCTCATTTCACAGAGGAAGCATATGAAACTATAAGAGATTCAGTAACTTGCCCAAGGCCACACAGCTAGCCAATGGGATCTGTACCTGGATCAGCTCTACTCCAGAGATGGACCCTTAAGAACCACTCTGTGCTACCTCTCTTGCTAAATGCCCACTCCAAAGTTAAGACCTCCACCCCTCCTCTCCCTCCAGGGCATCAAGGACCTGCCAGTGTGAGAGACTCCTCGTCACAAGGCCATCACCAAGGGGCTACCTGCCCCTAGGCTGCCAGTCCACAGCATGCAGGAAACCCTAGCAACATCGACACTGTCAGCCCCCCGCCGATCCTCAATCTCCACGCAGGAAATGTTCTCCACTGCAGACCAAACTTCAAGCACAGGCCCCCAGCCCTCAAGGCCCTCAAACATCCCACCCCCCGGCAAGTCCAAGGGCTGGAATTCTGGGACCAAAGTACGTCGGATGCGCAGGATCATAGCTGAAGATCCTGAATGGTCACTGGCCACCGTGCCCCTCCTCACAGAGCTCTGCATTCAGCACATCATCAAGAACTTCCAGAGTGAGTCTGTCCCTGCCCTGGGCAGGAGGGAAAGGCCAGGAGTGGGGCAGGATGGGTGGGATTTGCCCAGAGGCCAGCCTCAGCGAGACCTCAGCGGCTGGGTCCCGGCACAGCCCCGGCCCTTCCGCACTGTGTTCTCATCCCTGCTCAACACTGCCCTTCCCCCTTGGGGCCAGAATGATTTTTCCCACTGCCCCCACTTCCAGGCCCCACCAGATTCCCACCCACACTGTGCCCTGCACGCCTATGGCCTCTCCTCACCTTTCCCACTCTCTCCAGCCAAAGCCAGCCCAAACCGTGTTTACCCAACACCTCCTCCAGTAAGCCCTCCCTGGTGGACCATCCCCCACTCTCTTGGAGCCTTCCACAGTGTGTATAGGCTCTTGGTTTGTTCTGTACCCTGCGCTCTGTAAATGGTCACCCTTTTCAAAGATGAGTTGCCAACCTCTCCTACCAGACAGGGTGCTCTGAGGACAGGATCATCATTTTATCTACAGCACCTACTGCCACCCTACCTACAATATACTCACCTGACGGATTTGTTGTCTGCCTCCTCTCCTAAGAGGGAGTGGCTTCCTCTGTCTTGTTCACTCTTATATCTGCGGCACTTAGGACAGTGTCTGGTGCACAGGAGGCGGTCAAACATTGTCTTGTTTTGAGATGAATGAATCAAATCATTTGGGAATCTCTGAACTCAGGATTATGTCCTGCATCGGACCAAGTGATAATTGAGGGCTAGACCTGAGATTCTTGCTCAGACTGGGAGCTCCCGGAAACCAGATATTACGCTGTCCACTTCAGGCAGGAACACCCCACAGCCAGGGGCTGCGTCTCCTGTCTCAGCCTGAGCATCCCTGGGAGTAAAGGCTGTCGCCCCTCTCAGACTGGGGCTCCCCGAGGGCCGGGGAGGGTCTTCCATTTCCTCGGTGCCCCTAGGCAGGCCCGACCCAGGGCACCACGCCGTGGGGCTCGCCCACACTGTGACTCCTGCTTTCCTTCCTGTTCCCAAAGACAACCCTATCCTGAAGCAGCTGCTTCCAGAGCACCAGCAGAAGGTGCTGAGCCACCTGTCACCCGAGCTGCCGCTGGCTGTGACGGCCAACCTGATCGACGACGAGAACTACTGGCGCCGCTGCTGCATGCACCGCTGGCCCGTGTGCCACGTGGCCAGGCACGGCGGCAGCTGGAAGCGCCTGTTCTTCGAGCGGCACCTGGAGAACCTGATAAAGCACTTCATCCCAAGCACCACGGACCCCGCCGTGCTCCTCGACCTGCTGCCGCTCTGCCGGAGCTACGTGCGCCGGCTGCGCGTGGACCAGCTCCTCCCGCCCGTGCAGCTGCCCGGCCCACCCCGGAGCGGGGAGCTGTCCGACTCGGGCAGCGAGGGGGAGACGGAGGAGCCCGCCACCGACCACTACCAACTGCGCGACCTGGTGGCTGGCCTGAGCCACCTGGAGGAGCTCGACCTGGTGTACGGGGTCAAGGACTGCGGCATGAACTTCGAGGGGAACCTCTTCCTCTTCACCTATCGGGACTGCCACTCCCTGGCGGCCACCATCAAGGCATGCCACACCCTCAAGGTACCCGTCGGCCCAGCCTTCCCCCACCTCCCATCCTCAGCGCCTCTCAGATTCCCTCTCCCCTCCTCTTCCTCCTCCTCCATCCCCATCTTCTCCCTCCCGTTTCCTTCTCATTCACTGACCAAGTGTCCTTTAATGCACCCTGCACCAAGCCGGATTCTGGGGGTGCAGAGATGAACAAGGCACTGCCTTCCCAGTTCACGAGCCATTTATCCGTCCAAGGATCATCTGCGCTCCAGGCCCTATCCTAGGTGCTGAAGATTCAACAAGGAGCAAAATTAAACCATTTGTGCCCTCTGGAGCGAACAGTCTGGTGGGATAAAAGGCACTCATCAGCAATCATGTAAATGCGAAATTACAACTAGGATAGGCTTGCTAGATTTAGCAAATAAAAATACAAGACATCCAGTTAAATTTGAAACTCAAATACACAACGAGTAATTTTTTGGGTGAAGTATGTCCCAAATATTCTGGTTGGGAGAGGGAAAGCCTGCCAAGAAGTCAGAGAAAGAAGAAAAGGGGGACATGGCCCTGAGTCACAGAGCCAAGGGAGGGGTGCGTTTCAAGAAAAGGGGCAGGCAGCAATGGGGGGTGGTGATGCTGAGGACCGAATTTAGCAAACTCGGAGGTCACAGAGCCGGAACTGTCAGTGGAGTGCCAGAAACAAGGACCAGATCCGAGTGGTTTATGGAAAGAGTGGGAAGTGAGGAAACAGGATGGCTGTGATCAGCTTTTTCAAGAACTTGGCTGTGACGGGAGTGAAGAGGAAATCAGTAATAGATGAAGGGTTTGGGTTTTCTTAAAAAGATATTTGCATGTGTTTAAAACCAATGTAGAGCTCCATCCAATAGCAAGAAAGCGGCCGAGTCCAGGAGAAAGGCACAGGTTCATTGACCGAGGAAGGCTCCTGAGAAGGCAGGAGAGGTAGAATTGAGGACCGAGGTGGGACAGTTGGCTCTGGGCAGAGGAGAGAGTGGATGTGGTGGGTAGCAGTGGGTTGCTGTTCGGTATTAGGAAAGTGAGGGGTTCTCATTCAATGGCTGGGAAGGCAGGAGGAGACTTGACTGCTGAAAGGAGGCTGTACGGTGGCCCCCTGAAGTTTGAGGAGGCTGAAGAAGGTTGAAGTCATTGTTTCAGAGGAGGAGAGAGCATGTTGTCCAGAGAAACAGGGCTGGATTGGCACACAGCATTGAGGGTCTATTGGTGGTTCCAGCGATACCAACCAGTCCTGTCATGTGACATTTTTCCATCACGTCAGTTGCTTGGGCACCGATATGCAGAAAACAGAGAGTGGGCTTGATCCAGAATTGGAGCTTTGCCAGATAGGTGCAATGAAATGACAAGAGGGACAACAGGCTCTCAGTTGGCAGGGGACTGAAGGATGGGAAGAGGGTGGAGGGGCCTCAAGGAAGAGGGAGGGGTGGAAGGAGCTGGGGAGAAGGGGGAGGGTTAGGGCTCCCATCTCCGGTATCCCCCACGCTAGTCCTACCCCATCCTTTCATTTTTCTCTCCATCCTTCCATTTCCCATCTCTCACCCTGGTTCTTACCCTGGCATCTCCTTCCAAGAGTTCCTCTCCTCGCCCTGGTGGATCTTGGCCAGCTGAAGAGGGCACAGCGAGGGGCTGGGGCATCAAACAGACCTGCATTCAAACCTGCCTCTGGGGCTTGATCACTGTGTGACCCTTGACAAATGACCCATCCACCCTAAGCCTTCCTTTTCTATCGGTAAAGTGCCTGGGATGCTGAGGGTTCGAGATAATGGTTATGATACCCTCTAGCAGCATGCCCAGCATGCAGTAATTTCTCGATAAATGCTAGGCTTTCCTTCTACGGCCTGCCACCAGTTCGGCACCGATCTGCCATGTGGGGCAGTTCTGCTCTGCCCAAGGGCCAGTCAGGTGGCCAACAGCAGGTGAGCAGAACCTCAGGGCTCCCTGGGGCCCCCTCCTCCCCCTGCAGAAGGTAGGTAGCCAGGCAGGCAGATTCTCCCTGGCTGCGGGCTGCTGCATACCCTTTACCTGCCCACAGATCTTCAGGCTGACCCGAAGCAAGGTGGACGACGACAAGGCACGCATCCTAATTCGCAGCCTCCTGAATCACCCAGCCCTTGAGGAGCTGGACCTGTCACACAACCTCATCGGGGACCGGGGTGCGCGAGCCGCAGCCAAGCTGCTGAGCCACAGCCACTTGCGTGTGCTCAACCTGGCCAACAACCAGGTGCGGGCGCCTGGTGCCCAGTCTCTGGCTCACGCCCTAGCACACAACACCAACCTCATTTCCCTCAACCTGCGCCTCAACTGCATTGAGGATGAGGGTGGCCAGGCACTTGCCCACGCCTTGCAGACCAACAAGTGCCTCACAACACTGCACCTCGGTGGCAATGAGCTGTCTGAGCCCACCGCCACGCTCCTCTCCCAGGTGCTCTCGGTCAACACCACGCTCACCAGCATCAACCTGTCCTGCAACCACATTGGGCTGGTAAGCTGTGCCCTCTGGGGCCTTGGGGGGTGGGTATGGAACCCAGCTGCCTTCGGGTGCTTCCAGGGTAATTGTTAAGAGGACAGACTTTCCCTGGTTCCAATCCCAGCTCTGCCATTTTGCACTTGGTTAAATTACTTAGCCTTTTTGGGTCTCCATGTCCTCATCTGTAAAATGGGGATCATAATAGTATCTACTTCTAAGTAGATACTATTGTTACTGGGAGGATGAAATGAGTTGTATTTGTAAAGAAGTTAACATTACAGGCACTGGCTAGGACCTCAGTATTGCTAGCTGTTACTATTATTCAGGGTTATATCCTATGCTAGGCACTGATATCCTTCAGTGTTCCTTTATTCCTCACAGTTATCTAGTAGAATGTGTATTCCCCCCCTTTTTTTTTTGAAGATTTTATTTTTAAGTAATCTCTATACCCAACATGGGGCTCAAACTCACAACCCTAAGATAAAATGTTGCATGCTCTACCGACTGAGCCAAACAGGTGCCCCTAGTAGAATGTGAATTCTTTCTTTCCTTTTCTTAAGATTTATTTATTTACTTGAGAGAGAGAGAGAGAAAGAGAGATGGGGGACGGGCAGAGGGAGAGGGAGAAAGAATCTCAAGCAGACTCCCAGCTGAGCCAAGAGCCTGACACAGGGCTCAAACTCATGACCCTGAGATTGTGACCTCAGCGGAAATCAAGAGTTGGACACAACCGACTAAGTCATCCAGGCACCCCTAGAGTGTGTATTCTTAACCCCACTTTACAGATGGAAAATTGAGTCTCAGAGAGGCTAGTGAATTGCCCAAGAGCGTCCAGTCAGGAGAGAGTGGCAGAGCTGTGATTCAAACTCAGGACTGTTGAAAACCAGATTTATTCATTTGGGGTGCCTGGGTGGCTCAGTCAGTTAAGTGTCTGCCTTCAGCTCAGGTCATGATCCCAGGACCCTGGGATTGAGTCCCACCTGGGGCTCCCTGCTCAGCAGGGAGTCTGCTCCTCCCTCTGCCTCTGCCCCTCCCCCCTGCTCATGCACATGCCTCGCGCTCTCTCTCTCAAATGAATAAAATCTTTTTTTTTTATTTATTTGAGAGAGTGAGAGTGTGCACAAGGGGCAGAAGGCGAGGGGGAGAGAGAAAATCTCAAGCCGACTCCCCGCTGAGCACACGGAGTCTGATGCAGGGCTGGATCTCTGGACCTTGACATCATGACCTGAGCAGAAAACTAGAGTCAGACGCTTAACCCACTGAACCACCCAGGCGCCCCACCTGGATCCTTTCTGATAGATGATGTCTCTCATTTTCTTGACCAAGTCTCAGAATAAGAAATACAATTTTCACGAACACCTAGTAAACATATACATCAATATAGTATCATTGAAATGTACTTTTACTGCTTGTGATACATGCTGATATTTTCCTTTATATTCTATTCTACGTCATTTTTTAAAAAATGCATCTGCAACCCATTAAACTGGCTTTGCGACACACTCTTGGGTCACAACCATAGAACACGACCATTCTGTCTCTCACATAAGAGTGTTTCCACATCAAGCATGGCCCACCCAGCCCAGAAGGGGTTGGAGCCGTGAGGACTAGTGAGGAGGACCCTCCATGTCCTCCAGGTGGGGCCCTGCACCCTCTACCAAGAGAACAGTCTTGCTCAGACACACATACACCGTCTCCACTCGGGGTGCTTTTGGCTACAAGTAACGGAAACCTGAACCAGGAAACAGCTTAAACAAGAGGAATGTTCATTATGTCCCATAATCAGAAGCCCCAGGGTAGGGGGCCTCTGGAGTCGGTAAATTCGCTGGCTCAGTGCTGCCATCTGCTCTGCCCACCCAGCCACATGGCCATATCCTCTCAGGAGCTTCTCTCACGGTTCCAAGATGGCTGCTACACCTCACACAGGGCCAAGCCCAGAGGCAGGAAAAGGGAGAGCACCCCCCTCTCTTGTTCTCTTTTCAGAGTGAGGAGACCCTTCTCAGAATGTCAGAATGTCCTCAGATGTCATTGGCCAAATCTGTCTCACATGCCCATGGCTGAATCGGAGGAGGGGAATTACCATCATTGTCACAGAGCCATGTGTTTCAAACCATGAGCATTGAACAATCCATTTAGTAAGTCTTGAGCACCATTTTTCTTATAGAATCGAATGGAATAGGACAGGGTAGCACAGGACACAGTGGGCCTCACCAAGAGGCCAACCGTGGTTTTGCGAAACTCTCGTTCTCGTCGCATCTTTGTATAAACGTGTGTAAGTGTGCACACACGCGCACGCGATCCCGGGTAGTGAGATGAAATGGCCCCTTCCCTGGTACTCCCCTCCCAGGACGGCGGGAAGCAGCTCCTGGAGGGCATGTCGGACAACAAGACCCTCCTGGAGTTGGACTTGCGCCTGTCCGATGTGGCCCAGGAGAGCGAGTACCTCATTGGCCAGGTCCTCTGTGCCAACCGGGAAGCCGCCCGCCAGCGGACCTTGAATCCTGGCCACTTGATGTCACCAGTCATCGCCAAGGGCCCTGAGAAGCCTGCACGATAAGGTGGGGGACAGGGCTGGGCTGGAGCAGCGACGGGACCTGGGTCACTGCCCTGGCCCCATCCCTCATTTCATGCTCGCTTATGCCTGCTGTAGAGTGCCACGCTGGTCTAGAGGGAGGAGAGCGGGAGAGACCACGGATATCCTCGGGGTCAGTGATCAAGGGTGATGCGGATAAAGACGGGGAGGGCACTGGGATGGGGGAGAGAAGGGGTACGGGGTGGGACCCGTCCCCTGTACCCTGGAAGAAGATATTACCAGACCCCCTGAAATGACCGACTTCTTCCAGGATGAGGGAAGGCAGAGAAGATTCTGAGAGCCTCCCCAGACTCTCCCCTGAAGGCCATCCATCTCCCTGACCCCGGCCTCCCGACCGTCGTCCTCTCTACTGAACAGGTCCTGGACTTTTTGACCTTCAAAACATGTGCATGCCTGCAGGGCACACACGCACCCTCAGTCTCTCTCTCCTCTGGCTACTGCAGAGCTTTGCCCGGCTCTTTCACTCTCACTCCTGCCGATGCTACCTCGCTATTACTTGACTCTGCTAAAGGAACGGCCCATTCTACAGGCCATTCCATCCCCTAATTCTCATCCTCTGCCCCCCCCAACACACACACACAACCTGGGAAGGGGGAAACAGAGGTGACAGGAGGGACTCAGACCCACTGCCCCCACCAGGGAGCTTCTGCTGGGAGGAGGAGAGCATGGGGGAGGTGCCACACAGGGGAGGGAAGTCAGTGAGTCATCCGCAACTTTATTATCCACGTTTGATTTGTACAATCTTTGCGCTTGGAAATCCACGACAGAAAGGCCACAGTGTGATGCACCCAATTGACAGAGACCTGTCTTCTCCCCAGGCAGGCCCAGCCCACCCCCACAAGCCCTTGTCCTCGGCACATACGGAGCCTTCCAGGTGCCCTCTGAGAGTCCCCATCGCTCTGTAGCTGCCCACAGGAGTCACATCAACCCCCAGGGCCACGAGAGGACCTAATAGGTTCAGGCTGAGCCCCATCTCCCATCCTCCCCCACCCTGCTGAGGAGTCCAGAGCCTCCAGACCCGTGGTCTTTCCAAAGGATGGGTCGTGGGCTGCAGCCACAGCCTAGGGGTGCCTGCTCTCCAGGGACTCTTTCCAACAAGCAGGCGCCATGCAGAGCACCAAAGGGGGCTTGGGAGTGACTGCACTTGTGTGCCTGTCTGGGCAACCTAGAGTCTGTCTGTGCCTGACACCCTCTGACAGTTCGGGAGTGCAAACGTGTAGATGTGAGGGTGTGAGTGAGTGAGTGAGTGTGTGTGTGTGTGTACATAGCCACAGCTGCTAGCAGAAGTTCTAATTAGAGAAACAAGAACATTCAGTGTGAAGTTTAATTTTAGAGATTAATTTTCTGGTTTTCGTTTTCCCTGGCAATCAATAAAGCTACCGAGAAAATAGACCAAAGAATCGCTTTCTCTCTTAAGTCTGTGCGTGTGTGGAAGGTGAGGCTGTCTGTGTAAGACCTAGGCAGAAATGGTCAATACAGGCAAAAATAATAGTAGGGGGTCCCCTGTCCCCTCCTCCCAGCTCAGGCTCGGTCTCAGGAATGGGCCCGAGGGAGAAGGAGCTGAGTCCCTCCCTCCTTGGAGCCGGGAAGTGGCCAGGCTGCCTCCATACAAGGGCAGGACATCCCGGTGCCAGCTGGCCAAGAACTGGGGCCTGCGGCCACGGCTCACCACCTGGACCTCACAGATGTCCCCTCCGAGGAAAGAGGGGTGCTCCAACCGCCAGGGCCCCAAGGAGCACAGACTCGGGGTCCAGAAAGGTTCAGTGCTGACAAGCAGGTGGCCATGGCTTCCCAGGCCCAGGGAAACCTAGTGGGCAGCTATTCCCTCCTGCCCAAGCCTCCCCTTCTCCCGCCTCCTCTGCCTTCCCACTCAGCCATCTCCACAGGAAAGGAAAGCTCAACCCTGATGGGCCATTGGCCACGGTGTCCCCACAATCTGTATCTCCCAAGTCCCCCAGGGAAGGGGGACGGGGAGCCAGAGATGTTGCATAGGTGACGGTCATGCCCTTGGCAGCTGTAGGCCTGGCTAGGCTGGAGGAAGATGGGAGAGGAGGCTGAAGGAGGGGAAGGAGGAGCTCATATGGCTCAGACAAAGTGAGGAGCATCAGGGGTGAGCGATGTTGGCGGCCCAAGGGTTATCCTCTCCAGCTTGAAATGCGAGCTCAGTCCCTGGGCACTGAGTCTGCTGGGAAAACTTTAGCCAGGGGAGTTGGGAGGGCAGGGGGTTGTACACAGACATGCACACTGAAGCACATCAGGGTGGGAGTGGTGGGAGAGAAAAGGCCGTGTCAGAGCTTTAGGAGAACAGGACGTGGGACCACCGCCCTTGGGTGGTGGCAAGGTGCCCTTTTGAAGACCCTGGGGCACGCTGCAGGGCTTCAGCTCATGGGATAGAGGAGGACAGAGGGAGTCGGGCAAGATTTAGAGAATTTCTGTCTCTGACCCTGCCACTGGAATTGAGTATTTCTCCAGTCAGGGCTCATGAAGACATCCTCAGCCCTGCAGAGGTAATGTGTGGGGACAACAGCTCTTCACACCACCACCCCCAAGTCTGGGAAAGGCAAGGGTCGACCCAGACACCCCCACCTTTGGAGGTCCTTTCGATTTCCCTCCACTGCCCACTCCCACCTGCTAGGAGAGCTTCCCTTTGTCACCCGGGTCTGTCTCCCACTCTTCCCACCCAGGCATTCACCTTGACCAGCTTTAATGAACACGCAGGTAGGGGGTTGTCTCACCCCCTGAAGGGAGAAGCCCTGCCAGAACCCCAGTCAGGAGGCTGCTGCCAGGAGGCTGCAGAGTTTAGAGACAGGACTGAGGTACATACCCTCCACATTTTGCCTCCCTCCTCCCTGGGCAACTGCTCTTCAGGGCCAGAGGGCAAGAGGGAAGGGAGGAGAGTGACGCGTGCGGTGTGAGCACAGTCCCTCCAGGACCCACACTCCAGGGACCCAGCAAGATAAACAGCAGTGGACGGAGTGGCAGAAAGGAAACCCCGATGTTTTGGGGCCAGCGCCAAGAAGAGGAGAGCAACATTTGCACGGTTTTGGGATGGAGCATCGGGGCTGACATCCGGCCCCGGCCTCAGACCCACTGAATTCATTAGTAGGTTGGAAGCCAGCCCGGCTGTTCACCCAAACCACCGCCCCCTCCGTAGAGAGAGGCCCTGGTGGGCCCAGGCAGCGAAGGAAAAAAGCCCCCTCCTGCCTCTAGACCTCCCCAGCTGCACAGCGAAGGCCTCGCCCTTGCGACGGGCCCCACGCGGTGCCACAGCACAGTCGCCGCTAACAGTCAGAAGATCCATTGAAAGGCTGAACGGGAAATCTCGAGTGTGCGAGTGTGCGTGGAGGGAGGGGAGGTGTCCCCCTAGGAACTGAGGGGCGGGGCTGGAAGAGCCGACCGTGTCCAGGCGGGGTTCCCCGGAGCCGCCCTCCGCGCTCCCACCCGTCGGTCTCTTTATGTACAGGAAAGGCGGGGGGTGGGGGGGTCCGGACCCCATCGGGGTCCGTCCCGCGCACCCTCGCCTCCCTGCTCCCCGCGCCGTGCCCAGCACAGCCTCAGTCACCATCACGACTCCCCCCACTACACGCCAGGGGCACGGTCCGACGAGGGGCAGGAGGGAGGACGGTGGGCCTGCCGGGGCGGGGGGGGGGGGGCGCCCGGAGGTCACAGTGAGGTCTCTACGCAGGAGCCGTGGCGGTGCAGCGGCCGGTGGCTGTGGCCCAGACACCCCTCCTGCCGGTGCACGATGAGGACCGGGAAGTAGAGGGCGTCGTGGTAGGGCGGCGGCGGCCCGGCCTCCTCCTCGTCGTCGTCCTCGTCGTCCCCCATGCTGGCCTGGCTCGACAGGCGCGTCTGCTCGGTGGGGCAGCTCGCCTCGTTGACGCTCCCGCTCCGGCTGCGCCACAGGCAGCTGCGTCGGGAGCCGTAGAGGCGGCCGAGCGAGAAGCGGCTGCCCCCGCAGCCCGGCCCGCCCCCGGGCCCCGGGCCGGCCCGCGGGCTGGCGCAGATGCTGAGCGCGCTGCGCGAGAAGATGGACGAGCTGCTGACGGCGCGCTGGCAGTGCTCGCAGCTGCGCCGGTACGGGGCCACGCCCGCCGCGCCCGGGCCGCCCACCCCGCCGTAGCGGCACGCGGGCGCGTACCCGCCGCCCGCCGCCCCCGCGCAGCGCGCCCCCAGCCCCGCCAGGTCCATGAGCACCGCCTCCGAGTAGCTGGGCACCAGCTGCTGGTTGGAGCGGATGTGCCACTCGAGCTCCGTGCTGTCCACCGTGTTGACCCGCGGCAGGCGGTGCGTCAGCGGGGGCAGCAGCTCGTCGCTGGGGCTCAGGCCGCCGCCCGCGCTGCTCGCCGAGCCCGGGCCCTCCAGGCCGAAGAGCTTCTCCACGTGGTAGTGCGCGTAGGCCGTGCGGTACTCGGCCAGCACGCGCAGCGGCCACGACAGCGTGAGCAGCGCCGCGGCCCAGAAGGCCGACGAGCAGGCGTACCACGGCGGCCGGGCCGGGTCCGGGAAGGCCACCATGAACTCGCGGAAGTCCACGTTCTTGAGGTGCATGCCCTCGCGCGCCTCCATGTAGTCGTCCAGGCCCTCGTTCTCGGCGAAGAAGCGCGCGCGCTGGCATAGGTAAGCGTTCTCGGCCTCCACGCTGGCGAAGCTGAAGCACTTGGTGAAGCGCAGGCGCGTGGCCGGCGCGCCCTCCAGCCCCACCAGCGCCTTGGACACGTCGCGGACGCCGCAGCGTGCGTAGTCGAACTCGGCCTCCGCCACGTGCGTGTTGACGCGCTCATGGTAGACCTGCGGCGCCGGGGAGGGCGGCGGGAGTCGCTTCTGTCGGCTCACCCTCGTCCGCCCCATCGCCGCTCTTGCTGCCCGCTCATACCCTAAGCCTGCCCCGCTTTAGAGCCCGCTTGGAGCCCGGTAGGATCTTACCATCTGCTTTACAGAGCAACGCAGGCCCTCAGCGTCATCCATTAGAGAGGAGGATGGGCTGAAAGTCGGACCTTCCCCGGGTGCATGCTAATTTTAATTAAGCCCTGCTTCATCAGGGGGTCAGGCGCTGGCCCTGAACTGCCCGTCGGGCTTGCCCGACCTTTCCGCCCGGTCTCCCAAGTCCCACGCTGCCCCTTCTTCCCTTTTACAGGTGTGTTCACAAGTGGGCCGAGGAGGGCCCTGTCGACCGGTCTCTGTCTCTGGTCTCCCTTTTCCCACCTTAGCTTTCACCCAGCCCCCTCCGTGATTCTCACAGGCCCCAGGCTTCTGTTTACCCATCCCAGTACTGAGACAGAGGTCACTCTCCACTGAGAAAATTTCCTCTTCTTCCAGGGCTCTAATGATGCCTAATCCTGGCGGGTCCAGGAAGTGCTAATTAGCCCCCGCCCCCACCTCTCCACTCTCCATGGGGCCTCCCGTGCCTACCTCCACCTCTTTGCCAGCGGACTCCCACCTCCGGGAGCCCTGGACTTGGGATCCAGGGCCCTGGGTTTGAGTCTAGCACTACCACTTAGAAGCTGCAGACCTTGGGCAAGTCAATGAGCTTAGGATTCCTTACCTGTGAAAAAGGACCTGGTAGCAGCCACCTCACTGAACGGGTGAGAGCATGCTGTGAGAGAGTGCATGTGAAGCCA